CGGAAGCCGTCGGAAGCAAAACGAGGGTTCCGCCAGCAGAATGCCAGCGGAAGGCGGCGGAAGTGAAAGATGCGCCCCCGAGTGATGACACCATGTTCTGCTCAGGTCTTCCGAGGCCGACCATGTAGGGCCTCGGCTACGGCCCCAGTGTGCGCGCTCGCATGCACTCCGCGCGCTCATCTCGGCACGCCGCTCACGCGTTTCTCTAGCACTCCCAGATGGGGTCGGAGTAGATGGGGTCGGAGGATCGCGGCGCATCGCCGATACATTGCCGATGCGGCTCGGTGTGAGGCCTGATTTTCTCAACGCCGACGTCGCCGATGCATCGCCGACGTCGTCAGTCCATCGCCGATGCATCGCCGACGCATTGGTGATGTATCGCCGATGTATCGGCGACACGGCGAGATCATCCGACCACATCTATTCGAACCTCATCCAACAGGCCTCTAGTTTCGTACCGGACCGAGTGGGTATGTTCGCATGCGATCGGTTTGTGTGTGTGTTGTGTGTGTGTGTGTGTGTGTGTCAGTGCTTGTGGTTTTGCTGCGCACCCTTCACGTGACGCGCGTCGCAAGGACCCCCCCCCGCAGGGCCATGCGTCAGGCTAGGCTCGATCGCTCTCACCTCGTCCTGCTTCCTCGGGGATAAGAGAGGGATTGGAAAGGAGGCAGGTGAGGAGGTGGGAGGACGGGATCGAGTGAGGGGCAAGGGGGGGATGCGGGGATGAGGCCGGGGAAGGAGGGAAACCAGAAATCGCTCCAATGATTTCGATGCGCGGACCTTGAGAGGTCTGGACAGCTTCCCTATAAGGGGCGTTTTTCGTCTGGTCTTATGACGGCCCTGGGGCCCGCTGAGGGCCCCAGAAGGCCGGAAATGGCCCCAAATGTGCTGTTCTTTTTTTGTTTGGAGCCTCTGACCTCTGGGGATCTCTGGGAGAGGCAGGAACGGGGTGGAAGCGCCAGAAAGATGGTGGAGCCGCCCAGAAGACATCCCTTCCGACATCGGAACGACGACGACGACGACTACGACGACGACGAGAAAGACGAGGCCGACGACGACGACCAGGACGAGGACGAGGATGGGAAGGACGACGACGACGATGACGACGACGACGACGACGACGACGACCTCGAGGACGAGAAAGACGACAACGACCAGGACGACGACGAGGACGGGAAGGACGACGACGACGATGACGACGATGACGACGACGACGGCCAGGACGAGAAGGACGAGGACGACGACGACGAAGAAGGACGACGACGACGACGACGACAACGACGACTACGAGGACGAGAAGGGCGGCGAGGACGAGGACGACGACGAGGACGAGGACCAGGACGAGAAGGCCGACGACGACGACGACAGCGACGAGGAAAACCTCCAGCGCCCACAGGAGGAGGTCCTCGGCTCCGACGCCGCGGCGCGCGACGGGAGGCGGGGGGCCTCGGCCCCGCCTCCCCTGTGGCGGTCGGATGCTCGTGGCTCGATGCGGGCCCCTTCTGAGGAACCGGACCCCCTCCGCGCCATGGAGGGGTCGCGACGGGTTGCTCCCCACCCGACAGCTGCATCCTTCTTGTTTCTCTTTCTGGTTCCGGATTGGGGTAGTTTGATCGCCACTTCCCGCCGCGCAGGTTGGGACGCTCGAGGGAAAAAAGGTTGTTCCCCACCCGACGGGCTGGGGCCGTTGGATTTCTGGAGCAGGCTTCCCGACCCGTCCACTCTGCACAACGCGGCCGCCAGATCGGCCAGATCCCCAGGTCGCCCGAGCGTCCAGGAGAGTCCCGCCTCGCGCCACGCTGCACACCGCGGCCGCCAGATCCCCAGGTCTGCCGAATGTTCCCGACTGTCCCGGCTCGCGCCACTCTGCATATTGCGGCCGCCAGATCCCCAGGTCTCCCGAGTGTCCCAGAGAGTCCCGCCTCGCGCCACTCTGCATACCGCGGCCGCCAGATCCCCAGGTCCCCCGAGTGTTTCCGAGTGTTTTGCCTCGCGCCGACAAATCATGACATGACAGAGCTGTATTCATACCTTAGCACAGAATAGTGCAGCACCACATAATAGTCAATGCCAGGACAGAACATACCACCACACAACCTAACATGACACATTCGAGCATCACATATCAGTTCATGGCATAGCATATCGCAACATAACACGGCGATACAGCATTGCACACCATGGCACGGCATGCGTTGCATACCATGACAACGCAACGCATCCCATACTGACGCATCGCTACTTGAGCATACGAAAACCGAACATGACACATCTTCACATAACGCGACATGTTATATCACACGCGCCACATCATAACAACGCATGCTATGTCATATCGTGGCATCCATACCATAAAAACACCGAACACACCATACGAGAACATGACCGATCATCGCTTACCATATCATACCATGCCAGCACACACATCACAGCGTAACACTGTATCGCAGCACAGATATCACTTCAGATCGCGTCGAAGCTCAGATGACAAGCCATAACATGATAGACTGGTAGAGCATGGTAGAAGATCTTAGACCATAGCAGACCATCACATAACATATTGCCATAAGTTATGTTATCATGGATCGTGCAGGAAATCTAATACCACCACACCTCACACCATACCATACCAGTTTATCACATAACATACCTTGGAATAACATGCCATAACATGATATGCAATGACATAACACAACACACCGTTGCAAAGCGTCGAACACACATAGCATTCCATAAGTTTGCGAAGGTCGTTCGGCCAGTGCCGCCGACCTTGAGAACGACGAAGATGAAAACGAGGGGCCTGCAGGGTGAGGAGGATGAATGGGAGGTGGAGGAGGTGGAGGAAGGGTGGAGGAGGTGGATGAGGGAGGAGGAGGGGGAGAAGGATGTGGAGGAGAAGCAAGAGGAGGAGAAGGAGGCAGAGGAGAGCAGGAAAGGAGGCAGCAGGGGGGGTAGGAGGAGGAGGAGGAGGAGGAGGAGGAGGAGGAGGAGGAGGAGGAGGAGGAGGACGAGGAGGAGGAGGAGGAGGAGGAGGAGGAGGAGGAGGAGGAGGAGGAAGAGGAGGTCTGGGGGTTTGAGGCGGCCCTGCATTGGTTCCAGCCAGCAGGAATGGCGGGCAGGTTCGAAATTCTTGTTTCGGGAAGATGTTTCCCCACCCGACAGGTTGGGGTCGTCAGATTTTAGGAACAGACCTCCCGACCCGTCCACCCTGCATTCCGCGGCCACCACATCCCCAGGCCGCCCGAGTGTCCCCAAGAGTACCGCCTCGCGCCACTCTGCATACCGCGGCCGCCAGATCTCCAGGTCTTCCGAGAGTCCCCAACAGTCCCGCCTCGCTCCACTCTGCATATTGCGGCCGCCAGATCCCCAGGTCCCCCAAGTGTCCCCGAGAGTCCCTACTCGCGCCGACAAATCATAACACGACAGAGTGGTATCACACAATAGCAGAACAGAGTACAGCACAACACTATAAGCTATGACAGAATAGTGAGAACCACATTCCACCTAACAGAACATTTCCGAGCATGACATACCAGACCATGAATGAACTTTTCGTAACGTAGCACCCCATGACAGGGCAGTGCATAATATAGCACAGCATCACGGCACCGATATTCCACAACACGATTTCCACAACACGACAAAACGAGCATGCCGTATGAGCGCATCGCAGAATTGACCATGTGTCTTTCAGCATTGCCAAGCAATTTTGCCAATCGGGCATCTCGCGCCGCATGCGACCTCATCCGAATGCCTTTGCGCGCGCGCTGGGTGGTCAGGATCCGTGTCAAAGAATACCACGCGGGACACTCGCGCGCGTCGGCCGCGCGCGCATGTCGAACTCCTTCCAAAATTTTCATCACCGACGCGACGGCATCGTCATCTTTACCGGCGGGCGTGATCAACATCAGCACCGTCATTGGCCTTGCCGTCGTCGTCGCCACCATCGTCACCATCATCGCTACTTTCATCATCGTGTCTACCGTTGTCGGCGTCGCCATGATACCGCGCCCTTCCTAGTCACCGACTCGCGCGGAAGTGTTTGCTGGGAAGTTCCCAGATGTCAGCGCACACGCGGCCGCGTCGGTTGCGCCGCACTAGCTGGCCGCTGCGCGCGCGAGCATGCACGGGTTAGCGCGGCCGCAGAGATGCACCAGCCAACGCCCAGCATTCATCGCAATCGCCGCCGCATGGGTGTTGCAAACCAAGTTGCGGGTGGGTGGGTGGGATGATTCCGCGAACAGTAGAGTTGACAACTCAGTGCGCGCATGGGCGACTTGCACCACATATTTCACACCACGCTGTTCACACCATGATTACGCTGACACCATATAGCCCGCACCACAGCTTACATACCTCACCACACGCGGTGCACCACACCGCTTGCACAACATAGGTTGCGCAATATAGCTTGCGCCACGTGGATTGTATCACCTCGAATGTTGGAACCATCGTTTGGGGTTCACGCTGGCTGACATCTTCCTTGCGAAAGGGAGGTGTGTAAAGCGCGCGGCAAGGGGCGGGGTTACTACCATTAACATTCGCCTCGCTCTCAGGAAGGGCTGGTTTCTTACACGCACTGCCACATGTGTCGTAGCGCCCCCGTTACATCAACATGCAGTGAACAACTCATTCGCAACATCCCTAAGCCTCTGGCAGGGCTTTCTGAGATTTGACCTCCGTGAGTACACCACCCTGGACAGGTAATGAACTTTCGAAGTTCGTGTCGAGGAATCGGCCAGGGGACTTCCCTGATAGTAGTTGTTCATCCCGAGGCAAGTTTCTGATGGCCATGGGGCCCGACAACGGCCCCCGGTGAGGAAACAACAAGAAGAGGTTAACGCGAGGACGGTTCGTGCCACGAAGCACTTGGGGCCCGGGGATATACAGTAGGGCCTATCGTATATCCCCAGACTGAGCCCCTTTTTTTCTGGGTCCCTTCGAACCCCGCGAAGTCGGGGAGAGAGGTCGACATACACCCTGTCAGCATCGTTTCCCAGTGTTGGATTCTAAATCCTGGGTCTTCGGCCTCCGTCCAGGCAACGTCGCCCTCACCTCGGACCCGCGACCTCGGTCCGAAAACCTCCTCCCTCGGACCCTCGGGCCTCCGTGCTCCTCGTCCTCTTCCTCGCATCCTCCATCCGACACCCGTCAGGATGCACCCGAACACCTCCATCTTCGATCCATACCGATGCCGCTACTCGACGGGCCACTCCCCGGGTGCGCTCCGACCAGAATCTCCTGGCGAATCCAGCGGTGGCGAAGAGGGTCTCCGGGGAGGCCGACAAACTTGCCAACAGGGGAATGGCCGCAGTATATGGTACGCCGACGACGACCACGACCACGGACACGACGACGACGACGACCACGAAAGCGACGACGACGACGACCACCACGAAAACGACGACGACGGCGGCGACGGCGGCGACCACGACCACGACCAACCGCGACCGAGACCACGACCACGACGACGACCACGACGACGACCACGACGCCGACGACGACGTGCCTGCCCCCCCCCCGGGAAGACTCTCGGCGTGCGGGCCTCGCGCGGTCGGCCCCGAGACGCGAGGAGCGCGCGCCTGGGGGAGGAGGAGACGGAGGAGGAGGAGGAGGAGGAGGAGGAGGAGGAGGAGGAGGAGGAGGGGGGAGGAGGAGGGGGAGGGGGAGGTGGGGGAGGAGAAGGAGGAGGAGGAGGAGGAGGAGGAGGAGGAGGGCCCCCGCGCCGAGGCCGAGGCCGCCCTCGCCCAAGACGGGCGGCGGCGCGCAGGAGCGGCGGCCCTCCCCCGGGCGGGCTCGGCGGCGCGGGTGGCGCTGCACGCCGCCGCCGTCGCCGCCGCCCGCCGTGGCCGCCGCCGTCTTCGCCTCCGTCGTCGTCGTCGTCGTCGTCGTCGTCGTCGTCGTCGTCGTCGTCGTCGTCGTCGTCGTGTCGTCGCCGTCGTCGCCCGCCGGTCGCCGCCGCCGTCGTCGGCGGCGGCGGCGACAGCTTCCGCGTAAGGTCACTTCGCCATCTCGTGTAAGGCCCGCCTCTCTTCGTCGCTCACCTTGCTTCCGCTCGTCGTCGCCAGGCCGCGCAGGCATGGCCTGCAGGTCGCTTTGGCGAGGCGTGTGCAGTCGAGCGGGCGTCATTCGTGGCAAGAGCCACGGCGTCTGATCTATGGTGCCCGGCCTCGTGAGCCAAATGGCCCCGTTTGTCGGGTTGTCTGTTACTTTCTTGCAGGCCGCCTTGGTGATTTTGTTTGGCCACTCTAGGGGCCTCCGATGCCAGGAAGGGCGGGATCATTGACGAGGGAGATGGAGAGTCACCACCCACCAAATCACCCCAACCCACCCCGAAGGCCCCAGTTTGCCCCCCCCTTTCCCAGTGTGTGGGTGGGAGGGGTCGTCGGGGAACATTGAAAAACCATATGGAACCCGTACCCCCCCCAACCCGAAATTTGAGTCTTCGGGTTGGGTTGGCGTGGTCTGGTAGGCAGTCAGAGAGGAGGGAGACAGGGGGGTCCCAAGTCCCTTCCGCCCACGTCCTTGCAAACGGTTCGTTCCCTCCGCAGCGCGCGACTTTTTGAATGACAAGCACTTGATGGCCCTGCCATCCGGGCAAGCCCGCTTCGAGAAGGATCCGTTCCGAATGTGTTTCGCGATACCAGTGGCAAACAGACAGGTGCGACCGCATTGTTCAGGAACGTGTCCAGCCAGAGTCCCGCGTTTATCAGTGCATTTGGCGAGCAATTCTCAACGTTTTGCAAATTCCCACCAGCCCATCTAGGAATGATGCTTAGGAGAGTTGCCCTTTATGGGGCGATCTTGGCATCATCATGGTACCCCAAAGAACCTCAGTGAAATAGAGTCCTCTTGGATACCTCTCGGAGTCGTTTTGGGGGTCTCCTGGGGAGCTCTTGGTGGCCTCTTGGGGGTTCTTAGGGGGACTCTTGGGAAGTCTTGGAGGGCCTCTTGGAGGCCTCTCATGGCCTCTTAGGGCCTCTTGTGGTGCCCACTTGGGAGACTTATAGGCCTTCTTGGGACCATCAGTCTTGGAGGACATCGACCAAAGAAGGGGGGTCCTGATTTAGCGTTGCCATCTTGAGCCCTTTGATATCGCCTCTTGGGGCGCTCTTGGGGCGCTTGCGCGTTGGGGGCCGTTTTGGAGCCATCTTGGGCCCCTCTTTGGTCTCTTTTGGGCCTTTTTAGAGCCACCTTGCGGCTTGCGAACGGGCGAAAAGGACAACATCATGTAGTTTCCTTTGGGTTCGGATGTAGTTGGGCCTCTTAGGGTCGTCCCGTCTTAGAGCAGTCGTGGGCCATCTTGGAATCTGAGCGATGATGCGCTATCTTGAGCCATCTTTCAGCCCCCTTTGGGGCCCTCTTAGGCCATCTTGGACGATCCATCGACCCGCGGGGCGCCCCGTCCAGACGCAGGGGGAGGTGGCAGGGGAGGGGTCAAGCCTCCTGCCCACGAGGCGCTGGCCGTCTCGCTCACTCCCACTCGCTCTCCCGACACATAGGCAGCACCGGAATATCCCTGTCTACACACATGCGAAGTGGCGAGCGTTTTTTATCCGTAAGGGCTTCGCCCCCTGCCGCCAGCCCCCTCTCTCGGAGAATGGGCCATGGAAGAGCTAAGTCATGAGGCTTTGGCGCTGTCGTGCAGCAGTATCGGAACTTCATGCGAGGCCGACTCGCAATCGGCAAAAACAACTGATCACAAGAGGGGTTACCACACAGGGCGATTGGTAAGACGTGTATGGTTTACGAGCTTGGTTACCACACCTTGGGATTAAAGGGCCGAGGGAGTACTCGCAGTTTGGGTTACCACGCCTTGCGATGGATGTGCGTGAGGGGTGGCACCGAATTTGAGAAATGTGGCAAATCCCATTTGTTTTTGGACCCTGACCCCGCGGATCTGCGTGAGGGGTGGCACCGAATTTCAGAAATGTGGCAAATCCCCTGTGTTTTTGGACCCTGACCCCACGGATCTGCGTGAGGGGTGGCACCGAATTTCAGAAATGTGGCAAATCCCCTGTGTTTTTGGACCCTGACCCCGCGGATCTGCGTGAGGGGTGGTACCGAATTTTGAGAAATGTTGCAAATCCTATGTGTTTTTGGACCCTGACCCCGCGGATCTGCGTGAGGGGTGGCACCGAATTTCAGAAATGTTGCAAATCCCTTGTGTTTTTGTACCCTGACCCCGCGGATCTGTGTGAGGGGTGACACCGAATTTTGAGAAATGTGGCAAATCCCATGTCTTTTTGGACCCTGACCCCGCGGATCTGCGTGAGGGGTGGCACCGAATTTTGAGAAATGTGGCAAATCCCATGTGTTTTTGGACCCTGACCCCGCGGATCTGCGTGAGGGGTGGCACCGAATTTCAGAAATGTGGCAAATCCCCTGTGTTTTTGGACCCTGACCCCGCGGATCTGCGTGAGGGGTGTCGATTTCGAGCACCCCCAGCAATTCAGACAACGCGCCCAGGTGAGGCTAAAAGTCTTGTTTGGGCCTCCCCCCCTCGCGCGGTCAATCAACTAGTTACAGTAACCAGCAAGAAGTCAACTAGTTACAGTAACCAGCAAGAAGCAGAACTGTAACACTGGAAACTACAACCTACGACTGGTACAGGAAACTGCGAATCACGTGCCTCGCAGCCTGATGGCCCCACAAGGGGGCCGGCGGATTCATCGTTTTGCCGATCGGCACGGGCCCCCCTCCCCCCCTCCCCCCCTGGAGTATATAGATCTTGGCTGTTTTGGGTGCCTGTTTCGAGCAGGTGGAGCCTCCCCCATAATGGACGCACTGCTGCAAACAGTCGCGCTAAGCAGAGGTCCAGAGCCAGACACCCCCACCTTCCCCCCGCCTTCCTCCCAATGTCGAAACGCCGAACAACAAAACGCTCACGTGGTCGCGGGGCATAGAGTTGGACGCACAGTGCATTTCGCATTTGAAGTTGACAGGGGTTGTTGGCATGCGCGCAACAAGCAACATGAGGGCACCCACGCCGTCCCTGCCACAAGCCGCAAACTGGTCGCGGGGTGCCCGCGCATGCTCCAGAGTCGGAGGGTACGTGTATGTTTTGTGACAGGGGATGATAGATGGTTGGCTTGCGCGCATCAAACAATATGAGGCCCCCCACCGTCCCTGTCAAAAACCAGTGCAAAGTGGTCGCTGGGCGCCCGCGCATGCTCCAGATGTGGGGGCTTCGTGTACTTTGTATTGTTTTTGACGGATGGTGGCGGGGGGGACGCATGGGTCCTGGTTGGTTGCTTGTCGCCTGGTGGAGGGGGTGTTGTTGTTAGGGAGCACTAATCAACAAAAACCCTCCCCCTCCCGCAAGCCGTCTCGCTCACTCCCACCCGCCCTCCCAACACATGGGTAGCACCCGAGCCGCGGCATGTTCAGCAGTCGTCTTTGCATGGGCAGCTCGTGGCAACTGAACCAGACCCTATGTGCGTGATGCTGGGGCGAGGTCCGCCGCGCGTGCCAGGCGCGCCAGGCACCTCCAGGGCCCAAGTGTGCCAGGCACGCTTGGTGCATCAGATGCGCCACGTGCTTGACGTGCACCATGTGTGCCGCATGCTCCAGTCGCGCCAGGTGCCCCACGTTCGGGGCAAGCGCAGGGTGTGCCAGGTGCGCCCGCGCACGTGAAAGCACACATCGGGAACTTGTCGGTCCCCGCCATCACTGTCGAAAACCAATGCGCAATCGCGGCGGAATGGCCATCATGGTGTCTCGAGGGCTTGCACACCGCAGGCAATATGCGAGCACCCTTGCCGTCCTTGCCAAGAACCTGTGCAAAGTGATTGCGGGAAGTCCGCGCATGATCTAGATGTTGCCGCGAAGTGTTTTTGTATTGTTGTTGTGCGAGCCAGGGTGGACTTGCGCACAGCAGGCCATCTGTTGGCACCCCCGTGCTTCCTGTCAGAAAACAAGACAAGGTGCTCACGCCGCCCCCCGAATACGATCAACAGTTTTCCGCACCGTGTATGTTACATGGTTTTGTTTGAAAGGGGTGGTGGGAGGGTGTCTTCTGGGGCGGGTTGGCTGCCGCTCGCCTGGGGGAGGGGATATTTATCAATAGGGAACAGTGGGAAGCCCCTCTCCGTATGGGAAGAAGGGGGTTGGGCGAGGGAACGCGGTAAACCACCTGCGCCCTGAGGGGCACGTGGGATTTGAAGACGATATGCCGCCACAACTTTGAACACAGCAATTCATGCTGGTCACTGCTAAGGTGAATGAACGCGGTGCTGAGGCGAGTGCCACATTTTGACAACAGGCTGTGCTGCATCTGGGTAGTCGTCTGGAACATTTAAGGCGGTTGGGTGCGGCCCGAAGGCGAGAACCACATGTTGAAAATGGGGATTGGATATTTGAAGGCGATTTGGTCAAATTTCGATGCGACGACCGCGATTTTGAAGAATTGACCGCCATCCATTCGTGTAGCGGATGGACAGGTCAAGCTCCATGCGTATACCTTGAGAAGACGTGTTTGACGAAACGGCCGGGTCGTCCTATCGACACGCATGGCGATGCGTCGAGTCCATATTGGGGAACGCATGGCCGTCATTCGAGACAACGTCATTGCGAGAGGGACAAGGCAAATTCTATCATTGCTCGTCCCTTTGATTATCCTCCCGCGTTTCCTCCTCACCATTATCTGGCGATGGTGTGAGTATTCCTGCCGCTGAATATTTAAGCGAGAGGGAGGTAGAGAGAGAGAGAGAGGGACAAACAAAAAGAGAGACAGAGGTGATACGCTGTGAGAGAGAGAGAGAGAGAGAGACAGAGGTGATACGCTGTGAGAATACAGCCATTCTGATGACTATGTGGTGATGGTGGGCTTAATGATGACACTGGCTTGTAGTAGGAGCTGGTTCAGGAGCTTCAATCCGAACTTGGCATGAATCTGCAGTAGGCGCTGTGATAGGAGCTCTAGTGAGCGATACCGCAAGGCCTGCCTTGGTAGCTGTATTAAGAGCGGTTGTGCGAAAACAGTCGGACATGTATTAGCAGCAGTATGTCACTAGAGTCTGACCTTGCAATTGCCCCAATACTGCCCCGTGGCGATGCCAATGTGACACCCAGATAACATCAAGATGGCACCAGCATGGCACCAATATGGTATCGCAATGGTTTCAGTGTGACCATGATCTGCCATCAATGTGACCCAATATTGGCATCGACATGGCATTAGCATGGCCTCACCATGATTCCATCATGGCGTCATGTTGATTTCATCGGGCCATCGATGTAGCCTCAAATTGTTATCAACGTGATTTCTGTCTCTATAGGTATGTCCACTGCGGCATCACTATGACCACACTTGCAGATGGCCTCAACATGACATCATCATGCCATCAACATGGCCTCAATGTACTCTCTTCTTCCAGCTTCTCCTCATCCTCCTGCCTCGCCTCCTCACTCCCCTATCCCCTGCAGGGCCACCCCCCTTTCTAATTCAACTATGGTGGAACACGTTGACAGGCTCCGAAGACCCCCCCGTGGGTGTCCCAGAGTGAGTTCTTGCCAATAACACTTGCAGTACATGTTGATGCTCGACGTAGCGTCTCGCCCTCGTCGTCTGCATATTGCTCCCCCCCCCCTTTGCCAGGATCCCGAGCGCGAGCGGCCAACGAAGCCGAGCTCTGTCCGCAACTCCCAGGCATCGGGGTGACTGAACGGGGTGGTTGGATGTTGCTAGACATGGTCCTGGCCGATTGTGACCCAGCTTTTCCAGGGAGGCCCAGATGGACTCCAGAGCACCCCTCACGAGGCCGAGGTGGCCCCTGGCGTTCCAGATTGGCTGGAGAGGCTTGGTGCACGTTGGGATGGATCACCTCTGGCAACTTCCAAGGAGGGGCCGTGCTGAGCGATCTCATCAGTGGACGGCGTTTCGACTGGCTTGTTGGCAGCTTTGGGCGCCCCGAGTGCGGGTTGTCGTGGGTGGTGAGTTTGCCCATCTTCGCGCCTGCGGCGCGACACCGCCCGAGGAACCGTTCGAGCAGGCTTGCTTGTGTCAGAGCGTGAATTACCTACTCCGCTTTCGCTTCCAGGCAAAACCAAGCCATACCACGCGCCTCCTCGTCAAGCGGCCTGACCAGTACAGGCTGCAATTTGGCATCGTTTGGTATCTCTTGGAAGCGAGGGTGGTCAAAAGCGAGGTAGGTTTGGTTTCCCCCTATTGTGTGAGGCGGTGGCGAGCAGACTTGCTCCGCGTGGGCGAACGAACGAATTTGCATGTGCGGGCATCGTAGCCAACATTCCGCAGCATACCCCCGTGGAACATACCATGCAGTGGCCAATCCAGCACGATGCCATGCCACAAGGGCGAGGGCGTCCTGTCCTCGTCGCTCCGAAAGTTTCGGGCGAGCATCTCATGCCGCGTTTTCTTGTTCCCAATGCTGAAGGACTCGGCGAGTAGCAGGAGACGAGCTTCAGCGCCCTTCTTCAAGCCGGAGACGAATGACTTGGCTGTCATGCCGAGAAGGAGTACAAGCGCCGAGGGCATCGAGGAGCGATGTGCAACATAGCACGTTGCGTATCGCCAGCAGAGACATTTGATGGGAGGGTCAGCAACATAATGTTGTAGAGGGCGTGGCCATACGAGCACACACACACACGCATACACACATGGCGGTGCGTGCACATATTCTCACACACACACATAGAAACATAGATTCGGAGTGAGGGGCTTCCGCTCACGCGAATCCATTTCAAGTTGTGCGCACGTTGGCTGCTTCGGGGCAGGCTCACGTCGTCGCGCTTATCTTCTTGCTATTCTTCTTATCCTTCTGATGCTTTTCCTTCTGCGTCTTCTTCTTCTTCTTCTTCATTCCGTCCGACCCCGCGGGGGGGGGGGGCCCGGCGGGGACCCCGGCCGGGGAGGCCCGCGCGCACGTGTTGGGGCCCAGGTGTGGGGAGCCCGGGGGCCTACCGCAGGGGGCCCGCGGCGTCGCGGGGGGTCCCGTCGCCGCGGGGCCCGCAGGTGGGGCTGGGCGCGTGGGGGGCCCGGGCGGCCCGGCGGCCGCCTCGCGGGGGGCCCGCAACGCCGCGGTTCGGGGGCGGAAAAGAGGGGGGTGATGACTAGGGGGGGGTGGATATCATGGCGCGGGCCATGATATTTCCCCAGATTTCATGGCGCCCCTTCTTACTTCATTACGTCCCTGGCCCCCCCGCTGGGCCGCGCACATGCCGCCGGTCATGATTTGCACCCCCCCCCTCTTGGACACCCCCCTCTTGGCCGCTCCCGAGGGTGGCGTTGGTCCTGGCTTCGCGGAAGCGGAGTGTTGAAAAGTGAAGATCGGGGGCAACGATCGTGGGGGATGGGCACAGGAGGGGAGGCGTCGGCCCCCGGTCGCCCATGGAGGTCCGACGGCCCCAGCCTCCACAGGGAGGTGCGGATTCGGTATCGGGGGCCGATCGCCGATGTCTATCGGCGATGGATGTATCGCCGATTCCAGGTCGATGCATCCCCCACTATGCCAGTCCCCCCCCTTTTGGGTCGCCCTTCAGAAAAATCGCCGCCTGCGGCGGGCTTCTGCATGGAATGTTCCGTGCAGCTTTTTCCAGTCGTCCGTCTGGGGGGCCCGTCGCCGCGGGGCCCGTGGGTGGCGCCGGTCGTAGGTTCTCAGAGATGAATGAGCAACGCTAACAATCCAAAACATTGGTCTGGACGCCCGAAATGGGTACTGAAAGAATGGGTAGAATGCCCAACAACAATTCCTGTTCATTTTGAACAGGATTCGCTGTCCACGCCGCCGCGGCCTGTGTCCATTCGAGTCAGAAGGCCGCCTGCCCAGCAGCGGCCGCTGTTGGCTTGGGACAACATTTGTTGTTGGGCATAGTGCCCATTCTTTCCGTACCCATTTCGGGCGTCCAAAATTGGCGCTTGCGGTGGGCTTCTTCATTGAATGCTTCGTTTGACCTGTTTCACCCGTCTTGGGGGGAGCCGCGGCGTCGTGGGGGGCCATTGGTGGCGCCAATCTTGGCTGCGCAAGATCGCATGCTCAAATTTAAAGAGTCTCGGCGCCTGCGGCGGGCTTCTTCTTTGAGTGCTTCGTTTCATTGTTTCCCGTCAGGCTCCTGACTGGGGCTCGGGAGTTCATGCGACGATCCTCGTAGCCGCCCTGGCTTGAGCGCCAGTTCGGCGCTTGGGATTCGTTCTCCCTTGTCCGTTGTGCAGAGTAGCACCTATCCGTGACCTCCTTCGTCTTCGTGTGGCTCCGCAGGCGCCAGGGCGCCGCGCGATAGTTCCCAGTTCCGCAGCGCGTCGCGCCGAGACCAGAGGAACCCCTCACTCCTACCCGCACCTGCAGGGGGTATGGTCACGTACTTTTGTGCAGTGTATATACATGTGATGTGGGGACAACAACTAACACGTAGTGTGTAGAGGGCCTGGGCATGCGAACAAACCCACACACATGCACAAACTTGTGGACACAGACGTGCCTGCACATATCGAAGACGCCTACGGCGCATCACCGCCGCCCCCCTGCCCTTGTGGAAGCGGCTATGTGTCCGACAGCGGGGCTAGAGCTTGGCCAAGGTATCGGACCGTGTGTTCCCCGAGTCGGTTTGGAAAGGCTTCGGGGAACGCTTGGACCATCTTGGGACCGTCTTGGAGGCCATGTTGGGGCTATCTTCGGCTCTCTTGGGACCTGTTGAGGGCCTCTTGGGGCCTTCTTGGGGCTTCTCGGAGGCTTCTTTGGCCGTCTTATGGCGTTCCTGGCCCGTCTGACGTCGTCGGGAGCCGTCTTGGGGGCCTCTCTGAACCGACTTGGGGCCCTCTTGGGGCGCTTCGGGTCCGTCTTGGAGGCCATCTTGGCCGTCTTGGGGCCCTCTTGGGGCCTCGTTGGGGGCTCCTTGGGCCGTCATGGGGCCATCTTGGAGGCCTCGTGAGCGATTTGGGGGCGATCTTGGGGGCCTCTTGGGCCGTCGTGAGGTCTTCGGAAAGCCGAAAAGAAGCACATGCCACAATCCTTCAAACACCGAAGGAAAACCAATCATTTTAGCCTTTTTGGGCCCTCCTTGAGGACCTCTTGGAGGCGTCTTGGGGGGCTTTCGGGGGCCTCTGGGGCTGTCGTGAACCATCTTGAGGCTATCTTAGGCCGTCTTGGAGGCTGTCGTGGCCGTCTTGGAGGCCTCTTGGGGTCCTCTTGGGGCCGTCTTGGGGGCCTCTTGGACCGTCATGGGGCCATCTTGGAGGCCTCGTGGGCGATCTTGGGGCGATCTTGGGGGCCTCTTGGGCCGTTCGGAATGCCGAGAAGACACAAATACCAACATACTTCAAACAACCTATGGGAAATCAATGATTTTGGCCACTTCGGGTCCTCCTAGAGAACCTCTTAGGGGCCTCTTGGGTCGTGTTGGGCCGCCTTGGAAACTTCTTGGGCGAACTTGGAGGTATCTTGGACTCTCTTGGGCCGTCATGGAGGCCGTGTTGGACCATCTTGGGCTGACTTGGAGGCCATTTGGGAGGCCATTTTGGGCCAACATGACCAACTTGGAGGCCATCGTGAGCCGACTTGGAGGATTTTGGGGAGGATTGAGATCCCTTTCGGGTGGCCGGCGGGACGGGTCGAAGCCCCAGGGGGAGTTCTTTTGGAACGAGAACCAAAACCGAAAGGGTCTAGCACGCCGGGCACCCCTGTAGCAAGCCAACAGGGGGCGGCGGATAGAAGACGCCTACGGCGAATCACCGCCGCCCCCTGCCTTTTTGGAAGCGCCTATGTGGCCGAACGTTGAGGCCAGACCTGCCAAGCTATCGGACCATGTGCTCCCCGAATCGGTTTGGAAAGCCTTCGGGGAACACGTGGGTATCTTGAAGGTCCTCTTGGCCGTCTGGAGGCCTTTGACCCTTTCGGGCCTTCTTGGAGGACTCTTGGGCTGTCTTGGAGGCCATCTTGAGCGTCTTGGATGCTTCTGCGGCCGTCTTTGGGGCCTCTTAGGGCCGTCTTGGGCCTCTTGGGCGATCTTTGGGGCACTTGGGCCGTCTCGGGCCGTCGGAAGGCCGAAAAAGAACACATGCCACAATCCTTCAAACACTTATGGGAAATCAATGATGTTGGCCTTTGCGGGCCTTCCTGGAGGCCCTCTTGCAGGCCTCTTGGGCCGATGTGGGCCATCTTAGTGCCATCTTCGGCCGTCTTGGTGGGCCCCTGGCCCGTCCGACGCCGTCGGAAGCCGTTTGGGGGGCCTCTATGAGCCGACTTGGGGCCCTCTTGGGGTGCTCCAGGGCCGTCTCGGAGGCCATCTTAGGCGTCTGAAAGGCATCCTGTGCCGGCTTAGGGGCCTCTTGAGGCCGTCTTGGGGGCCTCTTGGCCCGTTCTGGGGCCATCTTGGAGGCCCTTTGGGCGATCTTTGGATGATCTTTGGGTGCTCTTGGGCCGTATCGAGCCGTCGGAAGGCCGAAACTGAGCAAATGCCAAAATCCTTCAAAAACATTTGGAACATATTTGTTTGTGGCCTTTTTTCTGGCCTTCCTGGATGCCCTCTTGGGGGCCTCTTGGGCCGTCTTGGGCCAGCTTCGAGCCAACTTCGGCCATCTTGGTGGGCTCCTGGCCCGCCTGACGCCGTCGGAAGCCGTTTGGGCGGCCTTTCTGGGCCGACTTGGGGCCCTCTTGGGGTGCTCCAGGGCCGTCTCGGAGGCCATCTTGGGCGTGTTGGAGGCCTCTTGGGTTGTCTTTGTGCCCTCTTGGGGCCGTCTTGTGGGTCTCTTGGGCAGTCCTCAGGCCATCTTGGAGGCCTCTTGGGCGCTGTGGGGGCGATCTTGGGGGCCTGTTGGGCCGTCTTGGGCTGTCGGAAAGCCGAGAAGAAGCAAATGCCAAAACATATTTGTTTTTGGCCTTTTCTGGCCTTCCTGGAGGCCCTCTTGGGGGCCTCTTGGGCCGTCTTGGGCCAGCTTCGAGCCAACTTCGGCCATCTTGGTGGGTTCTTGGCACGTCTGACGCCGTCGGGAGCCGTTTTGGGGGGTCTTTTTGGGCAGACTTGGGGGGCCCTCTTGGGGTGCTCCAGGGCCGTCTTGGAGGCCATCTTCGGCGTCTTGGAGGCCATCTTTGGCGTGTTGGAGGCCTCTTGGGCCGTCATGGGGCCCTCTTGGGGCCGTCTGGGAGGTCACTTGGGCCATCTTGGAGGCCTCTAGGGCGCTCTTGAGGCGATCTTGATGGCCTCTTGGGCCGTCTTGGGCCGTCGGAATGCCGAAAAGGAGCACATACCAAAGTTCTTCAAACACCCAGGGAAAATCAATGATTTAGACCTTTTCGGGCCCTCCTGGAGGACGTCTTGGAGGCCTCGTGGGCCGTTTTGAGGGCGTCTTGTGGGCTTTTGGGGCCGTCTTAGATTATCTTGAGGCCATCTAGGGCAGTCTTGGGTACATCTTGGGGCCATCGCAGCCGTCTTTGAGGCCATCTTGGCGGTTTTGGAGCAACTTCGGGGACATCCTGGGACATCTTGGCCGTCTTGGAGGCCATCTTGGGGCAAGAAAGGCAACGACAGGCGGGTTTTCCGTGTGGCC